AAACTTTGTGTTTCACATACTCACAACTGTAAACCTACCTGTATAACCCCAGGTTTCTCATCTCTCTGCCTTTGTTCTTTGTTTTTTCCAATCTCACTCTTATTCACCCCAGTCTCAATGCCAAAATTCAATCCATCATTCAGTATTCACCTCAAGGACCACTCCGTCTATGAAGGCTTTGCTGATCTCCCCAATAGGATATGATTGTTCCTTCCTTTAAATCTTAAGGATGTGGATGTTTACCACACCTCTTGCATGTTCTCTATCCTCTCTTACAACAGAGGTTCTTAACTCATCCTCAAAGTCACCTGAGATGCTCTCGGAAATTATGTATGCTTGAGGCCCACCCCAGAGATTCTGACTCTGTAGCAAAAGTGAAGCTTATATCTGTATTTTTAATGCAGATTCTGATATAGAACCAAGACTGAGAACCATTGTGTTATTTTGAATTTTTCCTACTGAGAGATCAAAGGGGGTTACTAGGAAGAATAAATGGAAAGGTAAGTTTGAATCAGATCTCTGAACCTCAATGTCCTTATCTTTAAAACTAGAGGCCCAGTGCATGAATTCGTGCATGGGTAGGGTCCAGCCAGTTCTCCCCAATGGGGGCCTATCAGGCCAGGCCAGCAGGGAGGAGGGGCCAATCAGGGGCCAGGGCCGGACAGGGGAGGGGCCGCCACCCAATCAGGCTGGTTGGCCTGCCGCAGTGCGTGTCATAGCGACCGGTCATTCCAGGCATTCCAGCATTCTAGTCACTTGGCTTTTATATAGAGAGATGGGAATAATAGTCCTTACTTCTTTAGATTGCTTTGGAGCTTAGGGTGATGATAGATAGTGAACATCTAAGAGTCCTACAGGGTTTCCTCCCCCAATAGTAACGACTGCCAGCTTAGCTCAGCATTTGGCTCATGGTGGTTTGTACGATTTTAACATAATCATTTCTACTCTGTGCAAAGAATGCATAAGTTAAATGCATATATTCCCTGGCTGCACCCAGCACTGGATACTGAAGGAAACTGTAGAAATTACTTCATCGCTCTGTGGCTTAACTTTGAAGCAATTCTCCTTCCAAAAAGAGGACCTTCTCAACATTACTAACTGAATTCACGGAATGGACACATGAACTAACACAGCTATCACTTCATCACATTCACAATACAAAGAGGATACCACGCTGGAGGATTTACTCAGACTTTTCCATATACCACTCATCTAATCCTCTCGATGCTGTCCAAGGGAGATGTTAATGTGCCAACTTTCAACAAATGTGAAAGTTGAGGCTCAGAAGAATTGAAATGATTTACTAAAGTTGCATAAATAGGAAGTGGCAGAGCTACAATTGGAACTCAGTAGTATAATTCCAAGTGCAATATTGTTTACCCTTCAGCATAACTGACCCAAAAGATTATTCTATTAACTTGATCAAAGTGTGTAAGCCTCCATCCTGATCATCAAAGCTCAAAAATGCCTGATGCAAAGGATATTTTGCCTTGGCTTATATGAATCAAATTAGCCATGTGCTTCACTGGGTACACTTCTGAGCTTAGTGCATGCTATTTCCTCTACAGGATTACATTCCTTGTTGGCAAACCCTTACTCATCCTTCAAGATCCAGCCATACATGAACACCTCCAGGCAGCTTTCCCAGTTACCTTTGCCCATCCCTGCTGGCTGGACCCATTTTTTTTAACTACAAAGAAAACAGACTATATCTATGCAATCAGTTTTTGCTTTTTAGACCTAAAAAGCAAAACTGAGTAATAAAAATACAATTTTTTATCTCTGCTGTGGGGGTGACCCATCAGGGGATGGCAGTAGTGAGATAAAAAGATCCTCCATTGTCTTACATTGTATTGTCTCTGTCCAAAATGAAATTTTCTTTTTTCTTTTTAACCATCACCCGAGGATATGTTTTTATTGATTTTTCTTGAGAGATAGAGAGATAGGAAGGGGGATAGAGAGAGAGAGAAACATTGAAATGAGAGCGAAACATCAATCAGTTGCCCTCTGTACTCACCCCAACCATGGATCAAACCTGCAATGTAGGTATGGACCTTGATCAGGAATCTAACCCCACAACTTTTTGGTGTATGGGATGATGCTCCAACCAACTGAGCCATTGACCAGGGCTGAAACTACGTTTTCTTTATCTTCCTCCTTTCTCTGAAACTAATAGGAAACAATGTTTTTTGCTTTATTTTTGTTTTTCAATTTGCTTGTTTGGTTTGGTTTTTTTCCTAGTAAGAAATTGGCTTAAAAGAAAATAGCCCCTAAGCTTATACTAAGGTGTAAATGACATAGTTGATCCTCTCCCAGATGCAGGATTTCCAGAAGATGGCCTAAGAGAACTCTGATTTCCGGGCATCAGAAGGGGTAAGGCACAGACACAGTGCAGGCAGGTGATGGTCAGATGTGAAGAAAGGATTCAGAAAGCAGAAGCTGGAGGCCCTGGAAACAAACATGGCCTTCTCCATCACACCACTCGAGCTGGACCTGTTGTCAGGGATCCAGACCCAACAATTCTGTTTTTAACACAACATGCCAGAGAACTGAATTCACCAAAGTGTTGAATTCTTATCTAAATCACTTACCATTATGTTCAGAAGAAACTATGTTTATAAATCTTATAAATAAGCCAGCGCAGCAAAATAACTCAACATAAAGTAGACCAATGCTAAGACATTCTTATTCAGTAAGGAAAGACCTGATATGGAAGAAGCCACATCATGACTAAGCTGTGCACCCATTTGGGGATAATAAGAACATGACCTTAGACCATCTTGAACTTGGGGTGAAGGGAGCTACCACATGTGTACAGGGGATGAACCATCACAACTCTACATGTTGACAATCTACTTCTCCTTCAAAGTTCAGTTCAAATTCTACCTCCATCATGAAGCCTCCCTTGATTGCACTTCCCCCCACCATTGTTCTTTCCTTCAGACAGCATTTTATCTGAACTACTATTCACTGATCTCCAATAACCTATTATCCATCACAGCACCTGGCATATGGTAGATAGCAGGAAATGTTTATTGAGTGAATGCAGGAATCTACATCATGAACATTAATCTGCTCTCCAGATATGTTCTAACCCAAGACACATTATTCTGGATTGTTTACAAAGAATATAAGCAACATCAGGAGGGAGCTGAACTACTTATCATAACATCCTAAACAAAGACATTATTTACATATTAAGACATTATATATCATACATTTTTATGTATATCAGCCTGGCCTGCACCCTCTCCAATCCAGGACCCCTTGGGGGATGTCTGACCACAGGGATCGGGTCTAAACCTGCAGTCAGACATCCCTCTCGCAATCCTGGACCACTCTGCCTGCTGGCTTGATTCCCCTAACTGCTCCCCTACCACCCTGATCGCTCCCTAACTGTCCCCTGCCAACCTGATCACCCCTAACTGCCCTCCCCTGCCAACCTGATCACCACCTAACTTCCCCCTGGCCAACCTGATAGCCCCCTAACGGCCCCCCTGCCAGCCTGATTGTCCCTGACTGCCCTCCCCTGATGGCCTGATAGCCCCTAACTGCCTCTGCCTTAGCCCCTGCCACCATGGCTTTGTCCAGAAGGACATCTGGAAGATGTCCAGTCTAATTAACGTATTACCCTTTTATTAGTATAGATTTATATACAAGAATACATAAAGAATGCCCTTTAGAATATATGTAAATGAATATATACAAAAACTGTATGGTAAGGTAACATAATTTACATGTATGTAGAGTTAGAATAAGTAGGAAGAAGTGAAATAATTTGAAAAGCATGCCCAAGGGCCCCTCACCAATACAGCCCCCTGTGTAGCCACAGAGTCTGCAAATCCTCACTTAGTCTCATTCTCCCTCTTGTTCGTCTCCTTCTCTCGGAACACAAGCCACAGTATCCCAGTTATTGCTGGCCTGGAACTATTGCTTATTAGGGGCCAGCCGAGCCCCCAGTAGAGACTATAAAACAGCCTGATATACCAGCGCAGGCTCCGTCTCCCTAAACATTCCACCTGGATTGAATACTGGCTCCCCTACAATCATAGTGTGTGACTCTTATACAAGTCACCTCACTTCTCCAGATTTGAGTTCCTGTGCAAAATACAGATTATAATAGCACCTACCTCCCAAGGCTGTGTGAGGGTGACCTGAGGTGATAAAGGTACAGCACATATGTCTGGGACATAATAAATATCCAATCAATGTCGATTATTATCATCCTCAGTATTGCTTTCCTTGTCTTTCCTGTGGAAAATCCATCTTGCAGGTTGGGGATTTTCTTTCTTTCTTTTTTTTTATAATATATTTTATTGATTTTTTACAGAGAGGAAGGGAAAGGGATAGAGAGTTAGAAACATCGATGAGAGAGAAACATTGATCAGCTGCCTCCTGCACACCCCCTACTGGGTACATGTCCTTGATCAGAATCGAACCTGGGACCCTTCAGTCTGCAGGCCGACACTCTATCCACTGAGCCAAACCGGTTAGGGCGAGGGATTTTCTAATACATTGATGCAAAAACCACAACCTTCAGAGCTGCTCTGAGACCCCCATACAAATCCTGCTTTGTGACAACATTCCCAACACACTCCTCACAAACAGCAAGGGTGGTGAGTGCAGAGGCTCTCAAATTGGGCTTCCTGGTCCCAAGTTACCTACCACTAACAAACAATATCCCCCGGTATACGTGTAAGCCGTAGATGACTGCTGTTCATAACTTCACAATTAATCTCTATTCTTTTTCCTTGACCAGACGATTTTGCAAAAGTTAATATCTAACTAAAAACCCCAAAAGCAAAGTGTAGTAAATTGCACTGTTTTTCTGTTGAAAGACTCCTTCATTGGCCGGGTACTAAATCACATTTTAACATTGCAAAATTGTCAGAGTGTAATTAACCTGTGTTTCTTCATATTCCCGTTGTGGCAATTGTTTATGACACAGCTTTATAAGGGACCAAGAGAGCAGCGAGGGACACATACATGATTCTGTGAACGTCTGGGCACCCCCCGGGGAAGGACCCTACCCAGAGCGGCAGTGCGGAAGGCCAGGGGAGATGGCGTTTGGAGGGAAGGCCATGTCCAGTCTGAAGGTGCTCCCACTTCTGCTCTTATTCCACACGCAGCTTTTCAAGGCCTTTCCAGTATCTTCTCAACCCAAAGGAGAAAAAAATATAGAAGTTGTTCAGGTAAATTAACCATCAGGTGGGTGGTTGATTTGCTGGTAATTAGGAGATTGTATGGGTTGTTTTCTCCTTTTAATTAAAACAGCCTGAAAGAAATGATGTGGATAATCTGTTTGAGCTTAAACATCTCCTTTCAGTGGTTTGGGGGGTTCCAAGCTGAATCCTCTGAAAGCCAGGCTCTTCAAATCCTGGCCAAACACTGCTGCTGAGCTGCCTCCATCTGGCGAACCCTTTGGGAAGGAGTGATTTTAATTACACAACCGAGCGGTTTTCTCTTCGACTTACCTAAGATTTTCCCTCCAGTTCATCTGCAACCCAGTTATTCCACGTCTGGCTCCTTCCATCTGACTGTCTTTGCAGCCCCAAATCCCAGGTGCACAAGAGAGCAGGAGGATGGGAAATTATAAGGGGAAAAAAATCAGTTTAAGCATAAAATAGTGTAAGCAGATTTCCCTACACCAGATCATGGGGCTTTGTATGCCCTCTTGGAAGCATTATAAAAGCAGCACCAATAGCCTTTTTCTGTTGTTCCCCAGTATGAACATTAGGCCAAATTTTTAAGACGCACAAGAGAAAGCTGTCCCAAACTTGTCATACGTGATTTTCTTAGCATTTCAGTTTTAGAAAAGTGTTGTGCTTATTTCTTTTTCTTTTTATCTTTTACGTTTTAAAAGTATCTCTTATAACGGTAATAGTAACCCTGGCTAATAGCTAGTTTATTTAGTATTTATTCTGAAATATTATCTAATTTCATCCTTATGACAACCCTGTGAAAGAGGTATTATTATTATTAATTTCCTCTTTAAGAGACCAAAGTGACTCTTAAATCAGTTAAGTGATATGTCCAAGAACTCACAGTTAATTTGTGGCAGAAATAAGATTGGAACCAAAACCAATCTGATCCCATAGCTTGTGAGAGCCCCAAAGTGCCCTGTCCTCTGTCACTTACAAAGTGCCCGGAATTCAAAGGCTGCTTTAAGAAATTTTAAGACTGCCTGCACACTCCCCAGAACCTTTACCTCCTAATGAGTGTTGGCCCCTTTAAAAGAGTTACCAGGCCACATAAAATTAATATCAGCGAGGCTAATGTTGCCCAAAAACTTATTTGGATTTCTTTTTTTTTTTTTAATATATTTTTATTGATTTTTTACAGAGAGGAAGGGAGAGAGATAGAGAGTTAGAAA